ATGTATGGAGTAATGATAAGAATATAGAAATAGGCCAGTATTTCATTCATTCTTATTGTGTTCTTTTAGCAACTTTGTGTAGAAACTGTTTGTAGTCATTTCATTCTTCTTGTATTTCTGCAGAGAAGAAAAGCAGGATACAAGGGGGTTCTGGGCAGTGTTCTGTAATAGATGTGAAATTGTGATTATATGTTTGTTGGTGGTAGAGCTGTCAGTGACCTATCATTTTCCATAAATAGCAGCTTCTGCATGCAGCCTGGTCAACTCAATTCAGTATAGAGCTCCTCCAAAGAAGGAATATAGACAGCAGCAAGTCTCTGTAGCTCCTTCTGGTGATTAGGGTGTAACCCTCCTGCTGATTCAAGGAGGCAAATTGGTTCTTGTTGGGCCCTGCTGGTCATGGCATTCAGTTCAGTAAGGGGCAGTTCTGAGAAGCTTAGTGGTTGAACTTTAAGTTTCCCCAGGAGGGGATCAGTCACTCCTTTTGCTAGATTTCCATTACACTTTGCTTTTACTTTTATTATAGTATTTACCTCATTCTGCTGAGAATTATGGTCAGGTGTTTCTGTGTGTCCCTTTAGATTGTTTCTTATGAGTGCCTTGTCTTTGTATCTTCCATAGTTATAGCACAGTGCTTTTGTATAGGACAAGTTTAAACTGTTACTCTTCAAAAGTAAATAAGTAGAAGAGTTTTAAATTTTGCAAAATTGCAGTTCCAAGTGTAGCTACTTTTATAAGCCACATCAAATCCTCTTCAAACAAGAGAGGTATAAATAAGTAGCCACTTAGGAAAAAAGTGTGGATTATAGCAAGCTTTCCCCCATCTAGGAATTTCAGAAGTCTGATGTTTGTTTTTTTCGAATAACAGCTTTATTGAGATACAACTCTTATACTATACAAGTCACCCACTTAAAGTGTATAATTCAATAGTTTATAGTATAATCACAGAGTTGTGCAACCATCACTACAGGCAATTTTGGAAGATTTTCATTACCCCCAAGAGAAACCCTACATACATTAGCTGTCATTCCCTTTTCTTTTTTTAACTTGCCAACCCTAGGCAACCATTATTCTACTTTCTGTTCCTAGTTATTCCTGTTCTGGACAATGGAATCATATAATATGTGGTCTTTCATGACTGGCTTCTTTCATTTAACCAGTATTTTCAAGGTTCATCTATGTTATAATGTATTTTATTCCTTTTTACTGCCTTGTAATATTCCATTGTAAAATATACCACATTTTATTTATTCATTCATCTTTGATGGATATTTGAGTTGTTTCCACTTTTTGAGTATTATAAATAATGCAGCTATGAACATTTATATACAAATTTTTGTATAGTTGTATGTTTTATTTCTCTTGAATATATAGTTAGGATTAAAATTGTTAGGATTAAAATATGGTGACTCTACATTTAACGTTTTGAGGAACTGCTAGACTTTTCCAAACAGTTGCAACATTTTACATTTCCATAGCAGTGTGCAAGAGTTCCAATTTCTCCACATCCTCACCAACACTTGTTATTATCTGTCTTTTTGATTATAGTCATCCTTGTGGGTGTGCGGTGGTATCTCATTGTGGTTTTGCTTTTCATTTCCCTGATGGCTAATGATACTGAATATCTTTTCATGTGCTTTTTGGACATTTGTATATGTTCTTTGGAGAAATGTCTATTCAGATCCTTTGTCCATTTTTTTTTTAC